GACGGAGGCCGCCGATGTCCACGTTCACGCCCGCGGCGCAGTAGCGTCTGTGCCATGCCACAGCTGCTCCTGGAGGATTGCGCAGGCGCTGTATGTGTCCTGCGCATGCGTGGAAGCGCAGAATTCAGCAAAACTGGGTAAGGAGCGGGGGCGTGCGGGGGCGCGGGCGGGCGCCCGGCGGCGGGGGGGGGGCCTTCGCCATTCCCGGAAGTTGCTTACTTCCGGGTTCGGCGACCAACCGGTTTGCAGGGACTGCCGCAAACCGGCTGAAACCCACCCCTGGTACAAAGCATCAAATAGTTACCTCTATTTAGCTTCCTCTCTCACTATTTTCATGAAAATTAGGGTGGTCTTGTTGGAAACATTGTTCAAGTTACAGATCTGGCCGAGACTCGGGTTTCTTTTATCTGACTGTTGTCTTGCTTGTGACTCTTCCTCCTGTTTCTCAAGGTTATTCCTTCTGCCTATTACACCAACTAAAGAAACACATCATTTTCTTACTTTGTTTGATGTTGAATAATTTGCTATTTATTCTCATGTAGACTTCACTTCCATCACAGTCTATTAATTACATTCTGCAACCAACCTTCAAAATTTAAGCCTATTCACCTTATGTTATACTTCCTGTAAATCAACAATCTTGTGTTGTCAGCTCCACCCCCTACACATATAATTAACTTTCTCATATTCTTGTATTTCTCAAACACTTGAAGTACAAAAATGTGATCTGCACATTTTATGCCTAGGATCAGAATGCATTGCACTTACCAAATTTTGTTCACTATCTCCTTGTGCCATTTCAACTGGAACTGTGTCAAATGCATTTCTCAAGAACGTTCAATGAATAATCTCCCTTTAGCTATTGCATTCAGTCCTAAAGTTTTGCATTTCCCTTGATATAAGGAAAGAATAATGGCATTCTGCCAATAGTCACGTACAGATCCAATATTGGCATCTATGAAATAAGACATGAAGCCATTTAACAAATCATTGATATTTTAACATTGCTCCAGCAGCTTTACCATTTTCCAACATCTTTTCAGCATTTATGACCTTTCATAATTTTTTGTGGATTTTAATTTTAAAGGATTTATTTCAATTACCGTACATGCTTCAACATAGCAGTTTTTTTCCCCATACAAACCTCTAAAATACTTCTTTCAGTATCCCCTCAATTCAGTTTCATCCTCAATAATTGCATACTTTTATGATGAAGTGGAGAGTCAGTTTGATATAGTGAAAAATACTGGTATAAAAACCAGAAGACCAGGCCACCCTCAGTCATGAAAGCTGACAGGCTGAGTTTGAGCTGTTCACTCTCACTCCCCCCCCACCCCGATTTTTGTTGTAGAGAACCTAGGAGCCAAGAGTATTAGGTATGTTTGCTGCCTTGAGTTCAGTGGTGGGTTTCAAAATTTTTTGGAACCTACTCTGTGGGTGTGGCCTCCTTTGTGGGAGTGGCTTGCTGGTCACGTGACCTGGTGGGAGTGGCTTGCCGGCCATGTGTTTTCTTTCTCTCTCTCTCTCTCTCTCTGTGTCTGTCTGTCTGTCTGTCTGTCTGTCTGTCTGTCT